CGAGCTACTTCATTTGCAAAAACTGCAATTCTGTATAACTCATAATATAATTGATCATCTTATTAATATTTTTATTTAATTTTATTAATATTTTAGTGCAAAACTTTTTTTTATTTATATTTATTTTTTTATATTGTTTATTGTTATTATTTTGTTATTTCATTAAGTTACAAACTGTAAACAATAAAGAATCAATTTTCCGTAACTCCAAACATGTTATTTTATTTTTTAACGATTAATGCCCTTTGAATTTTAAACATGGCCGACCTTGACTGTAATGGCCAACCTGGACTACAAATTTTTTTTTTTTTAAATCTTTATAACTTTTTCATTTTTAAACCTGTCAATTTACTTTGTACAGAAAAAATGTTCCTATTAAACAGGACTTTCCAACCATATACTTCAATTGTCCAAATTCATTTTTAAAAAAAAGTTATAAACAAAAGTCAAAAAGGTGGCCGACCTAGACTATGTTCCCCTACTATTATAAAATTAAAAAAAAAAATAAATTAAAAAATTTATAACAAAGAAATTAATTTTCTAAATTAACAAAAAAATATTTTCTAACATTTTTCAAATTTTAAGAAAATAATATTGAAAAAATCGTCGTTCAATTGAACGTTCAAATCTTTAGGGACATAAAATAATTTAATTATAAAATTTTATGGAATTTTTGTTATATAATTTTGTAAAAAAAATTTATATAATCGATTTTTATCGAAATAAATTATGCCCAATTTTTTAAATAATTGAATTTCCTGAAAATGTTTTGTTATTTATAAAAATAATTTATATTAATTTGTGAAAAGGATTTTATTACTTTCGAAAATAATTAAACTCTTATGATGAATATTGTTATTTAGGATGAAAATAATTGAATTTTGCAAAGAATTTTATTAAAATTCCTGAAAATAATTGAATTTTGCAAAGAATTTTATTAAAATTTCTGAAAATAATTGAAATTCTGAAAAGTATTTTGATATTCATCAAGATAATTGAATTTTTTCAAAGAATCCCTTTAAAATATTTGAAATAATATTTTAAAATATATTAAAAAATTCAACTAATTTCAACAGAATTTAAATTAAAATTTTCCAAATAAAAATTAGTTCTACAGAATTGTAGATTCAATTATTATTTATTTATTATTATTTTTTTATTCAATTATTTCTAAAAATTCCTATAATTTGTAAATTCTCCAAAATTCAATTATTTTCTGAAATTTTTATCCAAAATTCTTCTCTAAATCAATTATTTTTAATAATTAAATATATTTAAAAATTCAATTAATTGCAAATAAATTTAAGTTAAAATTTTTCAAAAAAATAAATTTCTTAAAATTTCTAATTAAATTCATTCAAAATTTTATAGTTTTCCAAAATTTCCAGTTGAAACCTTTTGAAATTAAATTATTTATTAAAAATTGTAAACGCAACTCTTATAAAATTCAATTATTTTTTAAACTTTTGACTAAAATTATTTATTAAATAATTTATAAGTAATAATTTTTTCCTAGTTTTCAAGAATTAAATTATTTTAAATAATTTTTAAATAAATTATTGTCAAAAATATAAAAAAATTTAAGGTTTTTTTTATTAAAATTCTTGGTAATTTTAAAGTTTTAAAGCAAGCAAACAAAAAGACACAAAAATTCAGAATTTTGTTATTTAAATTCTATAAAAATTAAATTTTTTTCCATCACTTTTATAAAAATTCCCTGATTTCCCTGACCTGTGGCAACCTGTCAATTTTCAGGCCTCGGTTCGACTTTAAGACACAAAAAATTAGTCAAAAAATGCATGAAATTATCAAAATTTGTGAAATAGAAAATTTTTAGGTGAAAAAAAGATAAATCTGACAATATGTGATTCCTTAAATTGTTTTTTTTCCTTTACTCGGATTTCTATATAGGGAGAGAATATTAATCCTCTTTCAACAATCGATTCAAAATTTTTATCAAAATAATTTCCTGGAAGTCTGGTGTGTTTGTGAAGATATTGATATTACAAGCTCACGACCAGGCATGCAAATGATGTTACTGCATAAGTGCAGTATAAAAATATCTTTGGCCCACAGCCAAACGCCAATATCTTTTCGTACATAAACTTTCAAAGTCCATTATTTTCCTTTCGAAAATTGGAATACGAGAGCCAAAACAATTAAAGGAAAAAATTTCATGTTTACCAAAATATTATTACAATTTTCATTCTACTCGCAAAATCGCATCTTCCAGAATATTTTCTTTCAGATTTTTTTTTATTTTTTACCAAAGTTAAAAACTAAAGACTGAATATTTAAAAATTAAAAATATTATCAAAAATTGTCATACACTGAAAAAAATAATTTTACTTAAATCAATTATTAATCGAATTAATTAATTAAATTAAAATAATTAATTAAAATGTAATTAAAAAAATTCTTTCAAGAATTTTAATAAATAAATTAATATAATTAATAAATTTCAAACTGTGTGGTTTAATTTCTCCACTTGAGAACGTCAAGGTCACCGTGAGATAGCAGTTCATTTGTTAAAATCAGTTTCTAAATTTATGTTAAATAAAATAATATTTAACAATCGATTAATATTTAATATTCCGTTTAAATAAAATTTTTCTCTCTGTCTATAATTTATAATATTATCATTATTATGAATACAATCAATATTTTCTATTTCGAATCAAATATATCGTCGTTCATCCAGAAATAATATTTAGAGAATATAATAATGTCACGCAAGAAAAATTTTTTAACACAACTTTCTTAAAATTTCAATTAATAATTATTAATAAAAAAAAAAATTTCTCTCTTCAATATAAGATTTATAAAAAAGGGGAAATTCATGGTTAAGTGAATCTAACAAATCGAGGGCACGCAACTATATTTAGTTTCGGAAAAAAAAAGTCTTTTTATCCGAGTCAAGTGCAGACACCTAATGGTATTTATACCAAACGCGATCTTACGTAAATTGTTTCGTCGACGAAATCGTCGATCACAATTTTATACAATTCTCAAAAGAGTATGCGCTGCCAGTTTTATATACCAACTTTTTCCCTCCTTGTAATTTATTTTTAATTTTCAAGCAGAAAATAAATAAATAATTTCAAATAAGTGAATAATTAAAAAAAAAATAAGCAGAAAATTGAATATATAAACTATAATCTCTTGTTATTAATGATAAAAAATTTATTAAATTATTAAAAGTAAAATAAGCGGATTAATTTTATTTATTCAGGGTTGCCACGGTTTTGCTCATTTCAAATTCCCTGACTTTTCCAGGTTTCAATTCAATTCAATTCAATTTTTATTTTTAAGAATTTTTAACTAAACTTCTTCTTTAAATTAATTATTTTTAATAATTTAAAAAAACTTTTTTTGAAAATTTCCAAATTCTTTTGCTTGCAATTCAATTTTATGAAATTTAATGGATTATTTGGAAATTCTTCAATAAAATATATATTAGAAAATAAAAACTTCAAATAACTTTAAAAAAAAATTAAATCTACACAATTTTCAATTAAAATTATGAAAAATTCAAACATTCAAAGATTGTAATTTGAAACCTTTTCAAAATTCAATTATTTCTAAAAATTCACGCTATAATACTTTTTTGATAAATTTGAATTTGTAAAAATGTTTATTAAATAATTGTAATTAGTGACTGATTTTTTGCTTTTGAATTAATAAATTTCACTATTAAATTAGTAGAAACGACTATTTATTAGTAAAATCTGCTAATTGAAAAGCAAAAAGTCAGTCACTAATTCAAATTAGAAAACATTTTTACTAATTCAAATTTAGAGAGTTGAATATTCAATTATTATCTAAAATTTTAACTGAAATTTATATTTAAATCAATTTTTATTAGAAAATTCTACGAGAATTAAATTATTTAAATACAAATAAAATGCAAATAAATAATTTATTGAAGAATTAAATGTTTTTTAAAATGCAACTATTATAAAGAATTTTATCAACAAATTTTTAAAATGGTATTTAAATTTCTTTTGACGAATTTTCATAACATTTTAAAGAATAATTTCATTTTTCGAGAAATTAAATTAAAATTGTATTAAAAATAATTGAATCTCTGTAAAAAAAATTTAATTGAATTGAGAAAAGCTTTTAAAATTTAATTGAAATTTTGACAAAAATTTTATTAACATTTTTGAAACATTTTTGAAAATAATTGAATTTTGGAGAAAAATTTTATTATTTATAACGATAAATGAAATTTTGAAGAGAATTTTTATAAACTTTTAACCGTAATTGAAGTTCTGCGAAGAATTTTGTTATTTATGAATTACGAAAATAATTGAATTATTTCGAAGAATTTTATTAAATTTTTTTGAAAATAATGTAATTTTTGCACAAAATTTTGTTATTTTGAAGATAATTGAATTTTTGATAAGAATTTTGTTACAACTTTTGCAAATAATTGAATTCTTGGAATAATTTTATTAAAATTTTTAAGAAGAATTGATTTGTTTTAAAGACTTTTATTAAGAAATTTTAAAAATAATTAAATTATTTCAAAAAACTTAATTAAAATTGTATTGAAAATAATTACATTCTTGAGAAGATTTTTAACAACAAATTCTTAAATAATTAAATTCCTTTGACGAATTTAAATAAAAGTTTTAAGAATAATTGCATTTTTCGATGAACCCGATTAAAATTGTATTAAAAATAATTTAAATTCTGCGACGAGTATTATTAATTATAAAAATAATTGAATCTGTTTAAAAAATTTGATTATTTATGAAAATAATTTAATTATATTAAAATTGAATTAATTTTGAAATATTTAAGAATAATTAGATTTCAAGAATAAGCACAATAATTTTCCAAGATTCCGATCAAAATTCCCTGACTTTTCCAGGTTTTTTCAAGGTTTATAAAATTCCCTGACATTTCCAGGTTTTCCAGGTTGCGTGGCAACCCTGATTATTAATAAACACTCGTTTATTTGTTTGTTTGTTTGTTTTTTTTTGAGGACTTACTTTCCGCTTGAAGGCAATTGTGGCCAATATCGTTTAAAGAAGTGAGGACGTTACAGGTGTGTCTCTTCCGATTTCCTTTTCTCGACAAAGTGGAAATGCTTCGTAAAATTGGAGCTAAACGGGATTTCAATATTGTCGTTAATACCGATTTTCTATTTTCAAAAAAAAACTCAAAAAAGCACTAAATTTCCACAGTTTAAGCAAAAAAAGGCCCAATTTTCCTAATTCCTTTTTTTTAATTTTAATAAAAATCTTACTCAGCAAAATATTAAAAGCAAATTTAATAATTATTACCAATACTAATATAACATTTATACAGCGGTAATAAAATTGATAAGTAACTATTTATTACTTGTGAGATAATTTTCAATTAATTTTAAGTAGTAATTGTTAATTTATCAAATATTTATTATTGTATGCTTTAAAAACAAAGTGTTGCGTGATTAGCAAATAGAAGCGAAAATCAATCCATCCCAAAGTATTTTAGTAGAAAGCAAATACGAAGGAAATTTGGGGGGGGGGCGGAAATATATTTTTTAAATCCTAACGAACTGTAATATTTTTACAAAAATTTTAATTTCATCAGTCGCTTTTAAAAATAAAAGTAGAAATTAAAAGTAAAAAATAGAAGTGACAAATAGAAGCAAAAAATAAAAGTAGAAAATAAAAGTAAAAGTAGAAAATAAAAATAAAAGTGCCAAATAAATAAAAGCTCGAGATAAAAGTGAAAATAAAAGCACAAAATAAAAGTAAAGAACAGAATATGCAAAAAAAAGAAAATTGTGAATGAATTGCGGGGAGAAGTTTTGTTTATCTATTCGAGAGACGTTTTTCTCGGAATACATTTATCTGGCTGTTTATCAGAGATGATAAAGAAAAAAGAAAATGCGGAAACGAGTGAGAGTATGCGTAGGCATTTACAGCTAAAGAGGCATGACCATATCATTATTGTGTGCATCGTTGCAAGAGAGTGACGAAAACTCTTGATTTGCCATTCATTTCATTATTCACATGAAACACAAATTGCCACTGTCCTGGTTTATTTGTCAATCAAGCCTCGTCAGCGGTACACCGATATATATAAATTCAACTCCTCATCATCATAATATATTGACAACATTGCTCTGTTTTAACCCATTTTATGCATAAATTTAATATAACTTCCGTTTCTCTTACAATAACAAAAAAATAAAAACAAAAAAACAAATCATACTTTTAAAAATTACTATTATTACTAAAATATTATACCATAATAATTATTTATACTTAATAATAATAATTGTAATTATTTATTACTTTGATTTAGTAAAAATATTTACACTGAAAAAAAAAATATTCTTAATTTAAGAATATATACTATAAAAAAGGTGCCCAGGATATTCCCCACTTACTGACAAAAATATAACCAGTCCGAGTCAAATAAGAGAATATTTTATTTGAAAATATAAATTAAATTTTTCATATAACTATAAAACATGAAGATATCAAGAATTTTTAACTAAAATTCTTCTTTAAATCGATAATTTTTAATAATTTTCGAAAAAGTTCTTTGACAATTTTCAAATCAATTTGTTTACAATATTCAATTTAACAAAATTTCAATTATTCGTAAATTCTTCAATCAAAAATATATACTAGAAAATAAAAACTTTAAATAATATTAAAAAAAATTCAATTCAACTTTTTCAAAAAAACTAATTTTAAAATTCAATTATTTCTAAAAATTCAAGCTATATTCCTTTTAATATTCAAGTATTATCTAAAAATTCAATTCTCACGAAGAATTTTATAAACAAATTTTTAAATAATTGAATTCTTTCGACAATTTTTAATAAAATTTTTAAGAATAATTGCATTTTTCGAAGAATTTAATTAAAATTGTATTAAAAATAATTTAAATTCTGCGTTAACTTTTATTATTAAATAATAAAAGTTAACGCAGAATTTTAATATTTTTCTAAAGCTTTGAATGGTCTAATAAAGAAAATTTTTTTCTATTTAATCGTTTTAAAAAATTATACTATAATAAAATATTAAAAAAATAAAATAACTTTAAACTTTTATAACAAAAAATTAATTTTCTAAATTAACAAAAAAATATTTTCTAAACATTATTCAATTCTTTAGGGACATAAAATAATAGAATTATAAAATTTCGATTAAAATTGTATTAAAAATAATTGAAATTCTGCGACGAGAAACCCTTACGTAATTAATGAATGACCCCTTATTTTTTAAAATAATATTTTCCTAAAGTTTTGAACGTTCAAATGAACGAACATTTTTTTTTCATTAATAAAATTTTAAAAAAACAAAAATAAATTTAACTATTTAAATAGCAAGGAAATAATTTTCTAAAATATGTAATTGAATTATCTATAAAATTTTTATTATTTATGAAAATAATTGAATTTCTTGAGAATTTTATTACTATTGAAAATAATTGAATTCTTGTGATGAATATTGTTATTTAGGATGAAAATAATTGAATTTTGCAAAGAATTTTATTAAAATTCCTGAAAATAATTGAATTTCTGGAAAGAATTTTGATATTCATCAAGATAATTGCATTTTTTCAAAGAATTCCGTTAAAATATTTGAAATAATATTAAAATATATTAACAAATTCAACTAATTTCAACAGAATTTAAATTAAAATTTTCAAAATAAAAATTAGTTCTACAGAATTGTTAATTGAAAGTATTAAAAATTCAGATTTTAAAAGATTTTAATTTTAAACCGTTTCAAAATTGAATTATTTCTAAAAATTCCTATCATTTGTAAATTCTCCAAAATTCAATTATTTTCTGAAATTTTTATCTGAAATTCTTCTCTAAATCATTTACTTTTAATAATTAAATATATATATTTAAAAATTCAACTACTTACAAATGAATTTGAATTGAAATTTTTCAAAAAATAATTGAATCCCTAAGAAGAATTTTATTATTCTTGAACAATATGTAATTTTTGAGAGAATATTACTATTACTCTTGAAAATAATTGAATTTCTTCAATAATTTGTGACTTTTCCAAAATTAAATTTTTTTCGTGTTTTTCACTAAAATCCTTTTTTAAATTTTAAATCCATTATTTTTAATAATTTTTGAAAAAGTTCTTTTAGAATTTTTAAATTCATTTGTTTACAATTCAATTTTACAAATTTTCAATTATTCGTAGATTCTTCAATTAAATATATAATAGAAAATAGAAACTTGACATAATTTAAAAAAAAAATTTGCAATAAAACCTTTTTAAAAAATATTAATTCTACAGAATTATTAGCTAAAAGTATAAAAAATTCAAATTCTCGAAGATTTTATTTTGAAACCTTTTCAAAATTAAATTATTTCTAAAAATTCATGCTCTAATGGTTTTAATATTCAATTATAATCTAAAATTTTAACTTAAATCTATTTTTAATTTAATTTAAATCAATTTTTATTAGAAAATTCCACTATAGAATTCAATTATTTAAATACAAAAAAACATTTTATTGAATAATTGCATGTTTCTTAAAACTGAATTCTAATAAAGAATTTTATCAATAAATTTTTATATAATTGAATTCTTTGGACTAATTTTGATAAAATTTTTAAATACATTTTTCGTGAAATTCGATTAAAATTGTATTAAAAATAATAATTGAAATTCTGCAATGAGTTTTATTATTTCCAAAAATAATTGAATTCCTAAAAAGAATTTTATTATTTACAAAAATAATTGAATCCCTGTAAGAATTTTATTATTTATGAAAATAATTGAATGATTGCGAAGAAATTTATAAAAAATTTGCAAATAATGGAATTCCTGTGAAATTTTTTATTATTTTATGAAAATAATTAAAGGTTTGCGTAGAATTTTATTAAATTTTTTTTAAAATTATTGAATTCTTTTGGAAAATTTTTGAAAATAATTGAAATTTTGCCAAGATTTTTATTAAAATTTTTAAAGATAATTGAATTTCATAGAAGAATAAATTTTATTATTTCTAAAGATAATTGAAATTTCGACGAAAAGTTAAAAAATCTTTTGAACATAAATAATTGAATTTCTGCGAAGAATTTTATTAATTTTGAAAATAATTGAAAAACAATAAAGTGAAATGAAAATATTTCAAGTTCAATTGAAGTGGATCTAATTTCTATAAATTCGAAAATTGACGTTCGTTTTGTAATAGATTTGCATCCAGCCTTGAGTCAATATTGTACGTAAAAATGTTCTCGAATTCGAAGTTTCCTTTATCAGAAATATTTACAAATAGACAGAAAATGCCTTAAAGCAAAGTTCCATGACAGAGAGAAATCTATTTCCCGCTCAAGATAGTAGGCAACCTAAAGGTGAATGAGTCACATTTCTATATAGAAAAGCGTGGGAGGAACAAGATGAACCTAACCTAACATTCGATGATAACGGACGAGGTGGCAACACATAATGCCTTTATGACGTATTCTCAAGTAAATGACATACAATACTAGGTGCACCAACCCACTGCATATGTATATGCACAATTTTTTTAATTTTCAATTTATTTTATTTTTCATTTCATTTTATTCCTATTTTTACTTTAATTATTATTATTATTATTATTATTACTGTTATTTTTACTTTACTTTTTATTTTATTTTCTATCTTATTTTACTCTTTTTTATTTTTATTTTATTTTTTATTTTATTCACGTTATTTTTATTTTTAATTTTATTTCACTTTATTTCACTTTATTTTTATTTTTTATTTTATTGCACTTTATTATTAAATTATTCTCACAATAACATTTTTTGACTGAAAAGAATCTTTTGATAAAATGGTGGTTTAATTTCTCCACTTGAGAACGCCAAGGTCACCACTAGATGGCAGTGAAAATTCCAAGAATTGTAAACTGACATCTAGCGGTGACCTTGGCGTTCTCAGGTGGAGAAGAATCTCAAGCTGTTGTAAAATTTTACTTTAGTTCTGAAATTAATTTGTTTACACTAAATAAATTGATATTTGAAATCTCGGTTAAAATAATAGTACAATTAGTGTCATTTTTAACGAAATAAGTGTCATGTCATTAGTAAATATTAAAAATAAATAAATTATACGGTCAAAACAATTTTCAATAAGTAACAATA